AAAAAAAAAAAAAAAAAAACACATCTTAGTAAAACCAATACGAAGCTGAGAAGTCGCATCGAAGCTAATATAAAGTAGAAATATAAATTTGCTAAGATAAAACTTTTTTATTAGTTTTTTTCGAAAATACAAATTAATAAGACAAGACGTATAAAAAAAATTACGGATCATTAAATAGACGATAGAAAATAATATTCAATATTCAATTAATTCAATGTCAATTTTATTAAATTAAGTAAAATAAAAAATTTCCTACAATATTTGTGCTTATTGAAAAATTAAACCCATTAAAATATCTGACAACTTTAATCTTACAACTCTGACAATCTTACAACATTTTTTTGGAACATTTCGTAAAGATAAAATAAAAAAAAGTTATTGTTGTTAATCTCCTAGTAAAAAAAAATTTTATTCACGAGTAATTGATTTAGGAAAAAAATTAGCCAGAAAAAGTGTGTTAAAAATGTTAAATCAAATTCGTTTTGAAAAATCTGTACAATTTTAGTAAAGAGTGTGTTATGTTGACACTTAAGATAAGATGATTTTCTTGAATTTAAGAAAAATATAATTAATTTTTGGAAACTTTTTTAAAATTATATTTTAAAATATTTCCAAAAAAACCAAGAGAGACAAATTTTTTGATAATAATTTAAATAAATTTGTTTTAAATCGTACTTATACATTTTTTGCAAGGATGGTATAATTTATCGTTTTATAATATGTGGTTTTAACTTAATCGTGAATAAATAAATTAAAAAAAAAACCCAGCACAGTGGGGTCGCGGCATAGTGGGGATGTTGCATAGTTGGGTCCAGTATAGATTTAATCTGACAGTGATTAAAATCACTATCATAAGAAACGCTTCGATGCAAATCAGTAGATAGTGTTTAATTCTAAGAAATTGGTGGATAATTACAAAAGCTACATTATCTGCTAGTTTCTTATTAATACCCTGATTAAGATAAAGTATGTCGAATGAAAAAGGGATTATTAAAAAATATTATTTCTCATAAAAAAATTGTGTTGATTCGTACACTTTTCAATGAGTTATAGCATTATAAAGTTAAAAATGTAACCAACCCAACCCAACATCAACTCCTATTTCCTTAATTATATCCAGATTAGTAATTATTTTAATTATATATTATATAATTTTTATAATTAATTATTTTCAAATTATTATTGATTTTTAATATGTTAAAAGTAATCATTTTGAACCTACTTCTTTTTGTTCTTTAAAGTGAAAGTTTTAATAAAAAAAAAATGAATTTATTACCATAACTTTTAACTCAACTTGCAAGTTTGAAATAAATATTATTAAATAGAAAAAAAT